AGAGAAGGCTTCATTCTCAGCTTAGGGTTCTTAAGCTGCTGGGTTCTCGAGGGCCTAGAGATGTAAACCCTTTCGTTCTTGCACTCATAAGTCCAATGTCCAGTCTGGAAACATTTCTGGCACTGTGAAGCGGCTGCGGAGGTACCACCCAATGTAGCTGAGGACATAGGCTTGTCTTTCCTCTCCCCGAGCCTGACGGCTTTCTCGGTACTCATCAAATACATCTGGCGCTTAGCTTCTCTTTTCTCCTGCCATCGGCTAGGACCTTCTTCCTTTTGGCCATAAGCGTTAACGTTTCTTGCAGCAGCAGCGGCTGCTCGCTCAGCTTGGGTACGGCTCAAACCTTTGGCAGCAGTGAGTGCTGCAGCCTTGATTCTGTCAGCTGCAACCTGCGCTTTCTCTTCCTTTGCATCAGACATGTCTCACAGATTCTTTATCCTCTGCATCCAAAGAAATTTAGTCAGAAAAGAACATATCTTTATCTTCAACAAATCAAATCTCGGGATTCCAATCTCAGAGACCAAGAAAAAACCCTAGGCTACGAAATTAGGGTTTCTAATCGATTCAAAAACTGGGTTCCGCTATCTAACCATGACAATAAAGTTCGAAGCCTATAAATCCTAAGACTTGACGAGTAATCTAGGTGAAGTTTCTAGAATAGAGGGAGAACTGAACTAGGGTTAATCGATCTCAAGACTGAATTCGAAGATGTACACAAACCATGGAAAAGGAATAAAGAAAGCTTACAAACTAGAAACGAGATAGCACCAAAGAGGAAGAGCGAAGCTTGCGTGGGAGGAATTGATGGAGAAGAGGATTTTGAGAGACTGTGACAAGGCGGCTCAAAGCGACGACGAAACAAATTCTAAAGCCCTTCTTTTATCAAATAACCTCTTTCCTAATTTTTCCTTTTCCTTTGTTTCTTCTATATTTTGTAATTGAATAGTTTTTAAATTATTTACTAATTTACGTGAACATTTTTTTAAAAAAAAGGAAGAAGATATTTTAGAAACATATGATACACCGTTATAAATGTCTGAATTGTTTTTCTAGATAGAGTTATATAAATAAATGCATCTTGAGTTGGWAATCTAGAGCAAAAAACAGAGCTTTTTTGATAATTGCACAATAACGAGACGAAAGCCACAAGTCCATGGCCGTCATGATCGCCCATACGTCTGGTTGAATTGATACGGTTGATGATGTTTTTGTCGAGTTGCTTGAGCAAAATCTGCCACCATGACGCCGTCGGTTTCGTTCTTGCCAAAGATGATACACGGTCATTTGCAAGGCATAGCGCAGTAAGAATAGAGAGTACTTACTCAGGTTGGAGCCGAGAAGTTTCGTCATCAATGTCTTCCATATTGCCCCTGTGATTCGACATTCAAAGAAAAGGTGGTTAAACGGTTTTGC